TGCGCGTCCGTCTCCAGCCCGCGCCGCGAGGGGACGCGGAGGAAATGTGGACTGTGTAGAGATGAGCGACACTGATCTCCGATGTTGGATATTTGCTTGGAAAAACGTGTGGGTACGACCTCGGTAAGGAACTTGGATCTTCTCTGTGAATCTGAAATTGATCTGAAAACTTTTTTTTTTTTTTGCTCTCGTCGCAGTAGAAACCAGAAAGGCTCCTGCTTGAAGGCACTTAGAACTGTCAAACATTTATAAGACTTTTTCCTTATGAATCATTAACCCTTTCAGTTCTAGGCGTCGTTGTCAAGTCACTGAAATTGTAGTAGTGGCTTCTGCCCGGTCCCGTCCAACAAAGTAACGATTCCGGGTGGGCTTACTTTTTTAAGTTTTGTTTTATTTTTAACACGTATTCGGCATCATGACTGTGCATGTTGCAACTCCGTAAAAGTAAGCAAGAGTGCTTAGGTCGTAACTGGAGGGAAAGACAACTTTGCATCTGGCTTTTCTTTTTTTTTTTTTTAAAAAAAGCATCATGTTTAAGGAGACAGAAGAATGTGGAAGCCACCCTGAAGGACTTACCCGGTGTTATGTGTACATTCTAAGGGGCACGGGCTCTTAGGCATGTTCCTACTTTTTATCAGGCATGTGTATATGGGAAAACAGCGCAGAAGTAGTCTACCTTCTCTCTCTTTCTCTCTCTCTCTCTCTCTCTCTCTCTCTCTCTGGAAAATACTATCTGCGGGTGAGGAGACACTTCCACATTTTTAAGTGGAAGCAGAGCGAGTGCTCTGAGTCTCCTCTATTTATTATAACTTTAGTTACAGTAAACTGTAGCACATCAGTGACTTCTGGGAATTTGTACACTTTCAGATTTAAATGGAAAGTGCTATTTGTAGCTGAGGGCTCCTGAAGGAATTCTCTCCCGGGAATTCTATTGAACAGTTTTATGTTTTGTTTTTGCTTTTCCACTTGGCGTGGGATGCCCACAAGTCTAAAGGCACTGTGGGGCGTTTGAACCCCTCGCCCATCTTCCCTCCTCTTTCCTGTGGTCCAAACTATTTCTGAAAAGCTGCACCTCGATGATGCTGGCAGGATGCAATCCTTTCCAGACTCGAGAGGATAAAAGAGATCCCTCAGCAGAGGGGGGTTAGGGGGGGCAGTTGTTTTGAAAGTTGTTTTGCATTGGGAGCTGGTGGGAAAGTTCAGTCTTCCCCATTTGGAAAAGGCAGGCTGGGTTCCGCTCCTGCAACACACGCGCTTTCCATTTTTAGCTTCATTCACAGGCAGACAGAGCGCCTTCCTCTTCCTCTCCTTGTTTGTGACAGTCTTCTGAGGCAGCTTTTCCACAGCGCCCAGGGTCTGGCAGCCATGACCCCAGGCGTTCTGGGACACAGGACTGAGCGCCCACAACATTTTTCTGCCGTGAGAGGTAAAGCCAGGGATTGTTCAGAGGTGGTTGTTTTTTTTTTTTATCCCCCCCAATGAAGTTGCCACACTTTTTTTTTTTTAACTTTGAGTAGCATTCTAAAACCCTGCTTCTTTAAGGCAGTCTTCTTTATACTGCCTTTTGGCTCTTACTCAACTGTACCAAGCACTCCGCATCTGCTTTTAAAGTCTTCAGACTACTGTATTAGTCATAGCCTCCCGGAGGAGCCACAGGACAATGGGGATTAAAGGCCTTGCCCTTCTCTTCCAGGCTGCCCCAAAGTGTGACTCCAGCGCTGTGAGGTTTCAAGGGTTGGCAGAGGGGACGGAGGGGACCATGAAAATGGACATGGAGGACGCGGACATGACTCTGTGGACAGAGGCTGCGTTTGAAGAGAAGTGTACATACATCGTGAATGATCACCCCTGGGATTCTGGAGCTGACGGAGGGACTTCAGTTCAGGCAGAGGCATCCTTACCCAGGAATCTGCTTTTCAAATACACCACAAACAGCAAAGAGGTAAGTTGCTGCTTTATTGCTGAAGAAGATTGGCATCTGATGCCAGGTCTCCCTAGGGGCTCTGGAGGCCTCCTCTATCTGTGAGGATCTCTAAGTGCCTGGAAGTAATTGATCACTCACTCCACTTCTTTCATTGCTTTCTCTTTCCCTAAGTCAGTCCTGGCTCACTTCCTCCAGCCCTCCACTGTTCCATGCTAATTAGTAAACAGTTAAACCTTTTGGCAACTTGACATGTCTTGGCAAAGCTCAGCTGCAGCGTGGGGTTTGTCAGGGAGCTGCCGGCCACTCTGGGCTCAATGGGCCCCGGTCCCCCAAGGTGCACAACAGCTTTTGAGGGAGAAAACTTTTTCTAAGAAAAAAACTTGGTCATGTTTCTTTTGTCTCCTTTGGCTCATTAGATGGCTTTATTCTTTTTAACGAGCCAGCTTTATTGGCTGGGTTTCTAAAATTATTCTCAAAACCCGGAGGTGTTTATGAACTGGAGTGATGGCATAAACCGGGATGAGGGTCATGTAAAAGTGTCCTCTGTGCGGATGACTTCAGCGCTCACCGCTGTGGCTCCGAGGCGGCCCTTGGCTCTGGCTGGACCGCCAGGCCGATTCCTTACTGGCCTCTGAAGTGGGTACACTCTTTGTTGTTTCAAAGGGGCTGAAAACTCCAACTTGGAATGAGCAAAGGATTTGTGGGTACCCTTTTATATAACGATTACAGCGAGGCGTGATGTGTAGCTGTGAAATAACTTGCAGAACCACCTCTTGTTTTGAGCGTTGGGCTAGCGCAGTTGCTCTCACTACTGGGCTGAGTGGAAGGAATCGACAGCTCAACAGACTTCCCACCGCCAGCATGACCTCAAGCCACTGTTAGTTCTGCGATGACCTCCACAGAGCAGTGAAAAGGGGGTCCTTTGCTGTAGGAATCCGCAGTTCAGTATTGGGAGTCTTCATGGTAGCCATGGCCGGTCGCTCTCTTCCTTCTCTAAGGAACAGCAGTGGAAGGATCCAGGGAGCCAGTTTGGGAAATACTTTGTCTCTTTCCTGTTTGTGTCCGAGTTCCCTGTTTTTGGTGAGGGGGAGACACAGCTGTCTAAAATTAAATAGAGCAACTCTGCTTTTGAGTTTCATCATAAAGCAAGCTTTTTCTTTTCCCTGCTGGGAGAGCAGAGGCCGGTTTTATAAAAAACAAAATTTAAATGGTAGCAGTACGTGTACATTCCTAAAAATGTAACCCCGGAGATCTGCCTTAATTATACCTCTTTCTACAGGAAACACTGTTCTCAATAGAAAGTCTCTTACTATGTGGCCCCTGGAATCAATGTAGGACTTGTTTGGGTATTTAAGGTTTGGCTGTGGCTTTAAAAGCGGCAGTGTGTCCCCCCCGCCCCCCCTCCCCCCATATCATATTTGACCAAATGTTGGTCTGTTCCCGGGTTCATTTGTGCTGTATTGCCCTGTCCACCCATTGGGACTGAAATAAATTTCTATTCTGTGGGTGATCTTTGCCGTTTAATTCTACAGTGTTCTTATCCTCAGTTCAGCGCTCAGCTGAAGTTTTTCATTTTCCATCATTTGACTTAAAATCATAGCTACATTTAGTAATGCCCTTCGACCGTGTAGTCCAAGGTTCGAAAAGATAGACACTTACCTAAAGTGGATAGTTAGAGCCAGAGCCGAGACTTGGAGGGAGCAAAGTTCTGACTTCCCCAGCCAGTGCTCTAGTGCTCTTTGATTATGCTACACTGGCCCCTCTTGGTGTCACTGTGGCTTTATTTTTAGTCTGAACACATTTCAGACCGATCCTTTATTAAGCTGGTTTGGCTCTTTTTCTTTTCTCCTCTGAACACTTAACTCCCTACTTCGTGTGTTCACGCCAAAAAAAACACAGAAAAAGGAAAAATGCTGTGCCTGTATTCCTAAAGAGGGTCCTTCAACACTAACCTAATAAGAGATCGGGGCTCTCTTATTCTATTTTCCCGTATTTTATGTAACTGAAACACTTGACTAAAATAATACATCTTCAGTTCCTAATCTTAAAAGCAACCAGGAAACCAACTTAAATGCAATACTGTCTGAAGCTTACTCTGGAATTTGTACCTGTTTCTCTGTTTCTCCCTTTTTGAACTTTGGGGAAGGACAGCTCCCTTAAGGTGGTGAAGGAGGACTGTGGGATTGGGCCATTGAGGACGTGCTTGCTGCAAACCAGTTCTCAAACAGACCTTTAGGACTGATGAACTGTTTACACTGTCATTATTCAGTTAGTCCTTTCAGTCCCACAAGCTGTGGAAATAGGCAAAAAAAGCCTTTCTACATGTAGTTTTTATCTGACTGATTTTACTGATTTAACTTGCCCTTCTTTAAATGTTTTCATTTAAGTAGCAGAAGATACCACATTATGTACTGTTGTGCTGACATACTTGGGGATTTTTTTTTTAGCAAGACCATTTTTCATTATGAATTTGTGCTATGTGTCAGCACCTTTTTTTTTCTTTTGGTTTAAAAACAAAACATACAAACCGTGTTTCTGATCTTGACCCTCATTTTTAGAGTTGGTTTAGAATCATTTTGTATCTTTAATGAGGCTGTTCTTACTTCCTATTTCCAGAACTCAAACCAAATATAGACATAGTATTCAAAACTGTTTAAACTTTTTTAACTGATGGGTTATTCTTTTAGGGGGATTTTCCCCTTGTCCTCCTGAAATAATTTTCTATGAATATTTGAATACAGAAAGGTCCATTTAAACACTTATATTTTAGAAGTGGTAGCCTGTGCTGAAACCGTTCGTGTTCTAGAAGCGCTGTGGCTCCGAGTCTGACCTCCCAAAGCCATGTGGTGACAAACATCCCCATGGACGATGGGGACTCCCTCAGTGTCCACTCTGATTGAAGTCCATTAGTCACTCAGGCCATCTGTAAAGAGTGTCTTGCCATAACGTGCAATTCTCTTTTCTTCCTACTGCCTTTTATTTGGGAGACATGTACTGAGGCATTACCACCTTTCCTTTAATACAAAGGTAATTAAGGAGGAAACCTTCTAAAAACATCTCCATTCGCTCCACCCCTTTTTTTAAAAAATGAGGTGCATTACCGGCTGAAGTCGTGGTCCACAACAGTTCTAGTCATCTCATTGCAGATAATCCTTATAATTGTAATCGAATGAGGCATTTTATGGGGGTGGGGGTGAGGAAGGGGATAGATAGCTAGTAATTAAAATGATCTTAATGGCATCTGGGCTGAGGATGCTCACAGCACATTTAGACCTGAATGCTGTTTCTGGTTAAAACCCACTACTGTGTGTGTGTGTGTGTGTGTGTGTGTGTGTGTGTGTGTGTGTACACTCCCTAGAGGGAGGAATTGCTTTAAACAACAAACAAAAAACTTACATTCTCCTTGCTATCAGATTTTTATTTCTCCCCCACCCCCACCCCATCCATCCTAAGTTGTGAAATCTTCATTTTTGTCTAGTAGTCACCGACCTGAATGTTCTGTGACTGGGGCCACTGATAGAGATGGATCTGCTCATGTGGCAGAGGGGTCGGCTCCTCACATAACCCATGACATTGAAGAGCTTCTGGGGGCAAGAAGTGTTGAGGCCAGCATGGTCTCGCTGATAGATTTATGGAAGGCGAACAGCAGCCTGTCCCCAGCAGAAATTCTTTAGGACCCTGGTCAGTTCCAGTGACGATTGCTTCCTGAGCGAGGTGAACACATTCTTAGTCTTCTTAGCACTGCAAGGGTTAGGGCACACACCAGGCTCCTCTGTGTCTTGTGCTTGCTCCAAGGATGGAATGTTGTTGGCTAAGCTTCACGTCTGGCTGCATCTTTCCAGGGCGGGAGGCAGACTGTGACCTAGTCTTCACTTCCCATTTAAGAAAAACCCTCAGTTCCTATTCCCCTTCCTAGTTACCTGGCTGAGTACTGTAATCTTGGAGTTGCAGCTGTTATGGCCTCTTTGAATAATGTCTCAGACATGGATTTGAGGTGAAGGTTTTTATTGTGTATTAGAGTATTGGACTGAGCACGGATATAGATGGCATATTAGCTACTCAGTTCCTTCCCACCTAAAAATTATGTGATCTTGTGTCTCTATTTATCTACATACATGAGTTTATTTGTATCCTACAGTTTTGTGTGTTATACGTAATTAAAATATTAAGACTCTGTCCCACTTGTAAAGTTAATCTGATATCGAGGTTCTTTTATTTGTTTGGGGCTTAGGGATTTCCATAGATCTCTCTTCCACCACACACCTTCCTCTGTCTAGTTGTTCTCCTGTCTTGCCTGCTGTATGACATTTGTAAGGTTACAGATGGGAAGAGTTACCTCTAATAGTGCCTTATAGCTTCCCCAGTGATTCGCCCATATTGCTCAAATAGGTATTGGGTGGCTTCTATCTTCCTTAAATTTGTAGGTGGCCTTTGTCCATAAGAACATGATGTGTTTTCTTAATGTGAGATTGGTATCTGAAAACCAACAGGCCCGGGGTTAAAAAGAATGGCAATTCAGAAGAAAAGCCCTGACCTCAATGCAAGGCTCCTTGTTGGTAATCAAGCTCTGACTCCTAAGACACTGTCTGCAAGAGACTATAATTTAAAACAAAGTTGATGAACCAGTTGAGTACCTTTCTTAAAATTACTGCTTTAAAGTGGATATGTTGAAAATATCAACTGCTAATTATTGGCTCACCAACAAATGACATTATTTGTTTTTCCTGTTTGTCATTTTAATATTATGGAACAATCACTCAAACATGAATGCCAAATGGTTTGCGTGTCATAGAAATCAATTCCATGAATTTTTCCAATTAATTAGGTTCTATGATGTATTATAAACAATGAGCCTCTGAATAAGTAAGTCCACTTAAGCTTTAGTATATGTTTTTATCTCAAGACTGTTCTGAGGTACTCCTGTCTCCAGTAGTTGTACTGCCAACAAATACCAATAATGACGAACTGTTATTGAAAGGGCAGATGGATGTAAATGAAGGCAGAGGAAGAGGATGAAATGAACATCTGCTTTTTTCACCTGTCTGCCAGAAATTCATAAATGACCAAAAATAACATTCTAGCTGACCAACCTTGTTTCAACTTGTGTTAGGGGCAGAAAATTTTTTTCTGTCTTTCCAGTCTGTGTATGTTCCATTGGCTTATATACTGAATAATAAAAAGTATTAAAAATAATAAATAAATAAAATTCAAATAAATTTAAAAATTATTGGCTGATAAGAAATGTATATAAAAAGAAGTGTGCCTACTCTAGATGCATTTAAACAGAGGTTTGAACTCTTAATGCAATTTAATGAAGTGTCAGTGCATATCATAACCAAAATCTTAGATTTCTTTGTGAACATTTATTGATTTACATATTTCGGCCTCCATTTCAGTTACACAATTAAGCAGGAACCACCAGGGATAATAAAAACTGGAAACAAATATTGTCTTTTACCTCCCATCTTGGTCCATTTCATTATGACATTTAGTAACTAACTTGTAGGCTTTTTTGGATGGGAAGAAAATAAAAATGGGAAAGTGAGTGTATAAAAAACAAAACAAAACTATAATTGCAAAATGTTATAAAGGATTACTTACAAAGGAGTTTTGTCAATAGTGATGAATTGCTTCCTGATTCGTGGTTGGTGACTTTTTTTTTCACCCCCTTAAAGAAATTTACGATCAAGGAGGAACTGGCATAGTTAACATGTTTCTTTAGTAAAACCCTACAAAGTCAGAATGTGTGATACATCCAGTCTGAGAAGGTCACTTCCTCTGATCTTAGAACCCGAGGCTCTCAGAACCCACAACTCTCCTCAGTATAAATTTCATTTCAAAGGAGGATTTTGACCACTGTTGAGTAGAAGATGCTAGAAAAGAACAAAAGTTACTTTGAAAGATCTTTCTTATAAAGAGAACTTACAAGCTATGAAGGGAAAAAAATAAAAAAGCAACACCCTCATCTGGGTTGAAAAAAAAATAGAATGTGTTTGGTTTCTGGTTCCTCAGGCCTTTGTGGAACAACCAAAGAGCATTATTTTGGTTTCTGAGGTTAAAACTACTTTATTCCCCTCAAGCACACTGTGTTTATGGTTTGAAGGAGAGGAGAAATAAGAAACTAGGAGCGGGCTGAATTGGTCTAACCTTGACCATCTAATTCTGTGTTATCTGATTCCCGTTCTAAAGCAGAATGGCTACCTCTCTGTTCTTCTATTATAAAAAGTAATCACAAAAATAAAAGACCCTCAGTCACTGGAGAATAAGTGGTTCTCAACCTTCCTAATGCCGCGACCCTTTAATAGTTCCTCATGTTGTGGTGACCCCCAACCATAAAATTATTTTCGTTGCTACTTCATAACTGTAATTTTGCTACTGTTATGAATCGTAATGTAAATATCTGATATGCAGGATATATTTTCATTGTTCCCGACCCACAGGTTGAGAACCGCTGCAACTATTTTAATGCTTGGTTGAATATTTGTTTATGATCTGGAAGTTTAAAAATGGCCCCCCCCCCCAAAAAAATGGTCTTCCCCTAAGGTGAAGCACATTATTAATTATATAGGCGCCATATCATAATTTTGTCATTGTTGGTTGCATTACCACTTGACATCTCATAAAAACAAAAAGATTGATTAATATATTGCAGTCAAAGTAATTGTTTCATATGCTTTACCTCCTTTAGGTTATTGGAGTAGTAAGTAAAGAATATATACCAAAGGGAACAAGATTTGGACCTCTAATAGGTGAAATCTACACCAACGATACAGTTCCCAAGAATGCCAACAGGAAATATTTTTGGCGGGTAAGTATGGAAAATTTTTCCAGATTCATTAAGAAAAAGTAGAGCTAGAATTGCTGGGTCACTTCCTTTTTCAACTTGTACTGGGCCTCACCACAAGTATTCAGGTCCCCAGGGACATAGTGAATCCTAAGCAAGTGTGATGAAACTGGCTAAACGTTTGGCCCTAGAAACACAACAGTTATAGGTGATTAGGATGGAGATATGGACTATATGTGAATCTTAATTTTTGCAATTCATTGAGCTATGTGAAGAAAGGAAACAGTTTGTTACTTGCTTTAAGGGTAGGCTCATTTGCATTTCTCTGCAAGGAAGTAGTAATGAGTCACCAAGTCTTAGATTTCACCTCTTCTTGATTTCTTGCTGAGTTAACTTTAATTGAGTGGAAGAATAATTATAAATGAATAATCTTGAAAAAAAATGCCATTCAGGAAGCCTAGTCATAGAAGATAGCACTAGGGGAATGGAGATGGACCTCAGGACTAGTCCTGTTTAAATTCATCTGCACCAGCCTGGCCGTCATGGCTCAGTGGTTGAGTGTTGACTTATGAACAAGGAGGTCATGGTTCGATTCCCGGTCAGGGCCCATGCCCGGATTGTGGGCTTGATCCTCAGTGGGGAGTGTGCAGGAGGCAGTCAATCAATGATTCTCTCTCATCATTGGTGTTTCTATCTCCCTCTCCCTCTCCCTTCCTCTCCTTTCTCTGAAATTAATAAAAACACATTAAATTTGTCTGCACCATAAAACTATCGGATTTGCCAGTAGGTAGATTACATCCATAGCTTTGGGGAAATGCTTACAATCATGCAAGATGATAAACTTTCTTATAACATCCAGTCCAAAAGTCTAGCCAATACAATTTCCTTTGGAATATCAGGGTTAGAAGGGACCTCAGAGGTGGACTAATTAGATGAAATCCTTGAGTAAAAGACTCTGAATTAGGAGTGAACAAGAAAAAATTGGGCTGCTTTTCATCTTCCCATAGCTCTCTGCAGGATATTTCATTTCCTCACTTAGAAAATAAAGATATTCTTACAAAATTTAAAAGAAAATTTTTATACATACTTGCATAAGAAGCACACAACAATTGGGGAATCATTGTTTGAATTATTTTCAGAAACAGCTGCATGGTAACAACAAAAATTGGATTACACTTAGTTTGGCCAGTATTTATCTAGAACACTTCTACCTTTTAGACAAGTATCTTGATAAAATACTTATTTGGGGGTCATTCAGAAGCTGCTCCTAACAAACAAGATTTTTTTCAAAAGCCTGGAAGTTTTGTGTTTTTAGAAACCTAGTGTTCTATTTTCCAGGCAGATGAGAGCTCTGAGAGTTGTGTGCTCACAATTTTTATTTAATAACTTTCTCATGCTTAAAATACATGAGTTACAATGGGAAAAATCTTAGTGCATTTTTGCCTTTATTGCCAATAAAATCTTTTCAGAAGTGAAACATAGAGGTGTGTAATTCTGCATTCGTAGGTCTGAATGAAGAGAAGCTAGCATAAATCTCATTAACACCTGGTCATTTTGACAAAGGCAAGAAACACCTAAGAACCTCCTATCACTCTCCCAGTTCCCTGGTTCATTCACGATTCACTCTAAGTAACTAAAATGCTGTCCTTGGGAGGATTTATTTGAATCAGTCTTTCACATACAAAGGATGTTGTAGGAGCTGACTCCCCACATGTTGTTAAAAGCATCCTGATTTTGCTGGCAGGGATATGGACATCTGTTTGAGGAAAGAAAAAAAGTTTCATGCAAATTACACAGTCAAAGAGAAGAGAAGGGATGTGCAAGTTGAGAAACCAGTGACATTTCTTGTAACTGTACTATGAGTCAGCACTTTTTAATCTTCTTGATAATGTATGGAAATGTAGTGAGGTGACAGGGAGCAGTGTTCACTTGACGTATGCGTATTTTCGCGTGTGTGTGTTTGTGTGTGACTTCATGGCATCAATCATTCTTTTTTAAATGAGGATACAGTAAATTGTAGTCTGTGGAAGGCTGACTGGAATCAACATACCCGTAGCTTTAGAAAGCAGTTTCCGCCCAACGAAGAGTGCAAGAGCGATGGAACCCCATGTTCCTGGAAGTTTGCACATCAGAGTAAACAAACTTGAAAACCCCTCTTGATAGCAGAATTCACCCAGCCTTGTTCCATTTTCTCTTAACAACACACACCGCAAACGCTCTCACAAGCTGCTTTGATGAAGCCACATGTATTTCCCCCTTCACAATTTACAGGAAGTTACTCTTAAAAGAAAGTGATTCTGGTGTTTACTGCCCGTGTTAAAGGGACAGAGTTCCTTTTTATCTCTGATAACGTTTGAGCGAAATATAGAATCAATTTATAGACTCACATAGTATGTGACTGAGAACAAAGCAGTAACCTGCTCTCAGGTCCGAGCCGTGGCCCACTGCTTGGAGACTACAAGTTGCAGATGACCAGGTATTGATTGTAGCTGTGTAAGGAAATGTCTTAGGTCTGAAGACAAGGCGTGGTACAGGTTAAAAAGAGGGAGAGAGAGCAGCTTTCTGTGGAAGGGTAAGGGGTTTCATGATGGAGCAGTTTCAGTAAGGATGTATATTTTGATTTTTCCTGTTCTTACCTCTGCCTTTTCCCCCGAGTGGCCTGTGTGCATCTGTTAAACAGAAGTAGTGTTACTACAAGGTAAACTTTGAAATCTGCTTTATGCGTTGCCTTTAAAGAACGACATGGTGTCTTCCTGTTCTTTTCCCAAAAGCACATGCCTATGGCTCTGTGAGTGGCGTTCCAGCCAAGCTCCTCACAGATAAGAGGGTTCCCTCTCCCCTCCTTTGGCAAGGCTGAACATGTTTATCAAGAGGAAAAGTGACTCCTTGGGAGACTGTCAGATTCTGGCTCCTGTCCCAGCCTTCACTTTGTTATGCCAGGTGAAGTTCACCTTTGCCCCACCCAGTGCTTCCACAAAAAGGCAAGGTTCCAAGTATTTATATGAACAAGTGTTACTTCTGGACTCCGAGGCTTGGGGGTGGAGGATGTTTGCATAGTTTAAGCCTTGGGCGGGGGTGTAGGAAATGGCAAGTACAGAGGCCATAGAAAAAGTGGAGAGACTCGGTTTGACGTACTCAGTCGGCTTGTCTTCTACGCAGTGACTCAAAGCATTAAAAGTCAGCATAATCGGAACTCAAGTTTGTAGCATCACCCATTTGTCATTCGCTGCTGTGGCAAAAGTAGGACTCGGCTGTTTTCATTCATCTGAGGCAGCTCCTTAAATGTTGTGTTTTACCCTTTTGTTATTTTCCCCCCACACGTGAAAAGACGATAAAACCGAGATGGAAAAGGTAACTGATGGTGTGCCTTACCTGTTTCTGCCCTTATTTCTGCTGATTCAAGACTACTCGGGCCAAACTGATTTGCTTCTTTTTCTAGCTAGGCGATAGGGGACCAGAAGTCACACATGTGCTTGCTGTGTTGATTCTTAAGAGGTGCCGGGGGCTGACTCTCTCCAACCCGTCTGTCTTCTCTTTTGGACAGATCTATTCCAGAGGGGAGCTTCACCACTTCATTGATGGCTTTAATGAGGAGAAAAGCAACTGGATGCGCTACGTGAATCCGGCGCACTCTGCCCAAGAGCAAAACCTGGCTGCGTGCCAGAATGGGATGAACATCTACTTCTACACCATTAAGCCCATTCCTGCCAACCAGGAGCTGCTTGTGTGGTATTGTCGGGACTTTGCAGAAAGGCTGCATTACCCTTATCCTGGAGAGCTGACAATGATGAATCTCAGTAAGTGGATTACAGAACAAAAAAAATGTTAAATGCCAGTCATGTCAGTCCTGCCCCTCTGAGCTAATAACATGTTGTTTAATTATATGGCTTCATCGGTTGGGCCAAGTAGGTGGCTTAAACCAGGCCCTCAGAAGGAGGGGAGGGGTGAATTTTAGTGCCTATTTCCTATTATAAAACTTGATCATTTAAAAAAATATCAAGAGCTACTTTGAGTGTTTAATTCAGAAAGTCACAAGAAGAAATATATGTCCAATTCTAATCTATCTGAAAGGGGGCAGGGAGGAGTAAGATAGAGATTGGTTCTGACAGGCTGACTTGGCAGGGAAAAGCCACCCCCCCCCCCTTGTTTGTGGTAATTTGTCGGTGCTTAAAATATGCATTGAAATCTTGTAGAGATGCCCATTTGGTTATTAAGTTATGGTCTGATGTGGAACATAGGAGATTGATTCTAGAAAAACTCGCAGCTGTAATTTTTCAAATATTATTCTAAATGAATAACAGATTTTATATTTTAGCTTCCTTTTATCTGATCACCTGATCAGTATTAAAGTAGCCACTTATCACTTTATCGTAACAAATTCTCAATTCCTTAGATTTATAAGCCTTTACTTTTTTATTTGGTGGAAGTTGTTGTCCTTCCCTCTCTGCAAAGGTCTACTTCATTTTAGTCCTTCTCAGGTGACCTCTATGAATGATTTAAGAATTACCATAACATCCCAACCTGTTGTCACTATGCTTGTGTGTTCTCAGTTACACTGCTACATAAAAAAGCAGTTTCTTAAATTAAGTTTAAATTTTTAAAGTAAAATTTTAGACCTTTTGGTTTAAAAGTTTTAACGTCTAAATGCTGAAATTTTTGTAACTTGTGGTTTTGACATCATTTCAAACTTAAGGGGGAGTTGCAAGAATAGTACAAAGAATTCCCAGATACACTTTACCCAGATTCATCAATCATTGATATGCTTTCCCTTTTGCTTTATATGAAGGCTAAATTGTTTTAGTTCACACTTTCATCTTTGAGACTTTTGGAATAATATTAATATTAGCATAAATTAGAATTTTTTACTTCAGCTCTAGGACCAACTTATCCTCGTCAGGTATAATCCAACTCTGTAGCTATTTAGTGCTCATCCACAGAGTCTACTTCATCTCCTTATGATCTCAAGACTATTTATAGTTTGCTGAAAAACGGGGAATATAAAAGATTATGGATCTCCTCCCCACAGGCTTGTGTCTGTGGCCCATTGATACACACGTGCCCACGCACACACACAATGCACCTTGAGCTTCATGAGGAAGTCTTAGAATGTTTGGAAATAAACCGGCTTCCAACAAGAGCATGATGGGTATAATCAGGTTCTAGGCGAAGGTGGCCATTGTTTTCCCTCATTTCTCTTCACTGCTCCCAAGAATTGCTGTCCTGTCCCAGAGCCAAGCATCTAAGGAGATATTCAGCTTTTTCACCATCTGTATGTGCCAGGCCTGGTACTCAGGGCCTGGTGGTAAAAGACAACTTATGTTCCAGCAGGGCATCTCCTGGGAAGACAGGCAGTCTCCTCCTAACTTTCTCAGCATAGCAAGTCACTTCTTCTTGGGGGTCTCCTTACAGTCCTTGGCCTAAATTAGTCATGGGTTCAGAGAAATACTTTGATTTCTTCTTTTTAAACAGTGACTCCATTTGAGGTGATGCATCCCAGTGATTTTGTACCAACCAGTGATTTTGCATACCTCCCTCACTCTCTGCCAATCAAAGAAAGGTTTTTAAGGTCTTACATTTTTATCCCCCAATGAAAAGTTTTGCACAGTATTTTAAGACTCGGGCATACCCTTTGTGTTCAGAAGCAACATTCTTGTGTACTGTGAAATGACACCTTTCTTCCCTCAAATATCCCTTATTGTTTATGCAGAATTTTTTCCTAAATGATGGTCTAACATTCCCAAGTTCCCTTTTATTGTCCAGTATTCATAGTAGAGAATGAAAGGTAACAATACTAGTCACATTAAGCCAAGACTCCTACTGCCGATTGTGAAACCAGTTGTCTTAGGCGTGGTAACTGATGATTGAGACTCTGATCAGGAAAATTTCCACTATTTCATCAGGCCTAACAGGTAGATTGTGTCTGCAAGTGAGTTGTGTTGGGTTTCCATGCATCAAGCATAAAAAAGGTCCATGCCAGAATCCCCATGAGGGCTTTAAGTGGCAGTGATGGCTCAACTGGTAGAATGTTGAGAAGAGATTTGATGCAAACTGAGGTCAAGAAAAATAAGTATTCAGAAATCACAAATTGGCATTTTTTAAAAAAACAAAATAAAAGGAGTTGGAACTATTTAGTTGAACTCCTACCCCTCCCAAGTTTTTTTGGTATTTTTTTCTATCTATCTTACTAACCCATCTAGAAAACAGTTGACCAAATTATAGACTTCTAAATGTTCATCTGCTTTCTCAGTTTCAGTTGAAAACAGACTTTGTTTTGCCTATTGCAGAACTTCTAGGTTCTTTCTTGTAGTCTTGGGGGTTCTTATTATAGATCGAAAATGTGAGTCGGCATAATTAAGCCATTCAGAGCCTTCAGAAGCAGTTCACTCTTGAAATGACTCTGTACGCCTACAGCCATGTAAGATTTAAGAACAAAAACAGATCTTGATTTTCCTTTTCATGTTAACTCAAGCTGCTGCTGAGTGGGAGATTCAGAAATGACACCAGCTCCCCTGATTACTCAGCTGCTAAGGATGATTTTAAAAATGTGCCTTCTGTGGATGGCATGATGTCCACCTTACAACTCCTCAGGAGGGACTACCCTTCCCTCTGGATATTGTTTTGGAGTAAGACATAAATTTGTTTGTAGAAAGGCATGTGAGATAGCCAACATTTATTGCGGATTTACTATATGCCGAACACTGTGTTAAATATTTTACCTAGAAAATGATGAATTACGACTTTCTTGTTTGTTGGCCAAATCATTAGCTTCTTTCAATTCAATAAATGAATTGTTGAAGCGCTTAGTAAGAACACCTAACTAAATAGGAAGAACAAGGCTATGGTTGGACTAAACGTTTTACTTTCGCTTTAATTTATTGAATTTTAGAATTGAGAGAGTATTGAAGTTGCCAGAAAAAGGAAGAGACTTAGATGTAATTTGCCATGTAAAAATGGCAGAAAATGATGATGGTGAATTGTCTGTATTTAATTTTATTAGGATGGCGTTTTTTGTTACTGTGGGCCTATGGGGATGCCTCTGAGTCGCTCTTTCTCAGCCTGCCTAACATTCCTTCCTGTGGCTGAGAGATAGATGTCTCGCCTATCAGTTTTCCCACTCCGTTGTCTATCTTCCTTTACCATTTAGGCTTTAAAAAACAAAAGTGACAATTTGAACTTCCTGCCTGCTGGGCCTCACTGAAAGATCGATATTGGCCTGATAAGGGGATATTTATTTTGGTTTAGTGGCTTCAGAAATCCCTCTCCCTCAACAAGCTTTCCATCACTGCCCCCATCAGCATCTTCCCCGATAGTGTCTTGGCTGTGTTTACTCTGGGGCCACTGGCTCACCCGGAGTAACTGATAACAGCCAGCAGCAGATAACATTCTCCGAGGGGCTCTCACGCGGGAATCCAATCCCTCCAGCCTGCCAACCTAGAGAATGGATTTGAAGAGCTCAGAATCTGGAGTTCCACAGAGCTCATTTCTAGACCTATCGGATGTCAAGCCTGGAGTTCCTTCTCAGTTAAATCAAACAGGGACCTTTTTTTGTAAAAGATGATGAATGATACTTTACGGAGGCCTCAGCCTGATCCCCACCAGCTCTCCTGCCTCTCGTGGCTGATGCCTTCAGTCTGCTCCCACTGCTGCGGCAGGTGTTCACGCTGGAGTGGCTGCCCTCCAAGAACCTGAGCTCCAGCTCAGCAGCATATGTTTTACTTTTGCTTTCCAAGGCAGGCTGAGCAGGGAATTTTTGGTTTCCCTGCTCCGACTGGTGCTTTCCTGAAGGCACCGTCTGTGCTGTGTGTTTGGAGGCAGGGTTGGCGAGGGCCTGGGGAGTCTGGAAGTGTCCTCCTCGTGGCTGCTGTCCCTAAATAGTATATTTACCGAGTCATGGTGTGCCGGCTTTGGGAATAAATGCTTTCATCTTGGCTGCCTGTTTTCTTTGGTGCTCTAAGTAATTGGACTGGCTCGGAAAGTGCCTGTTGTGGTTTGGCAGGAGGACTGTGTCATGCCTTGTGATTCCAGGGGACAGCGTGGCTGGGAGCCTGGGTAGACCAGACAGAGCCGTGGTGAAATTCTTGTGTTGTCAGCAAATCGAAGGGAAGGGGTGGCATCTGTGTTTCTAATCTGTCTATTTGGCACAGACAGTTTTGAACAGGGTTTTATCAAATTCGTATTAAATGAGAACGAAGGTGAAAATTGATGACTGCTTATTACTTGAAATGAGTCTTAATCTTTCACATCTAGTTCGCAGGGTGTGCTGACTTTCTCAGAATGGCATTTATTAACCTCTGACATCCCCCACCCCAGTATTTTTCCACCCCATTTTAATGGAAGCTCTCCTGTTCTAGCCTGCACAGCACTTTTCCATCATAAGGGGGTGTTTTTTGTCAGTGGAAACAAAGTAATCTAAAGGGCGCTGTTCGCTCCATTGACCGATGCTGCCAGTGCCCCACGGTGCTGAGAAGGAAATGGAGCGGCGCTTCGAGGGGCCGGGCCCTCTAGAATGAGAGGCGCCGAGAAACCAGGTGTCTCGCGCGTGGCCAGCTGGTGCTCAGGTTTTCTCAGGGAGAGAGCCACCTGGGCAATTTCACTTCAGTTCTCTGTACCCCTCTGAGTAATCGTCCCTTCTTCTCTGTTTCAGCACAAGCACAGAGCCAGTCAAAGCAGCAGAGCACTGAGAAAAATGACCTTTGCCCAAGGAACGCCCCAAAGAGAGAGTACAGCGTGAAAGAAATCCTAAAATTGGACTCCAGCCCCTCCAAAAGAAAGGACTTCTACCGTTCAAACATTTCACCCCTCACTTCAGAAAAGGACACAGATGACTTCAGGAAGAATGGGAGCCCCGAAATGCCCTTCTACCCCCGGGTCGTGTACCCGATCCGGGCCCCTCTCCCGGAAGACTTTTTGAAAGCTTCCCTGGCCTATGGGATGGAGAGGCCGACGTACATCCCTCACTCCCCCATCCCGTCCTCCACGACGCCCAGTCCCTCAGCAAGAAGCAGCCCGGACCAAAGCCTCAAAAGCTCCAGTCCTCACAGCAGCCCAGGGAACACCGTGTCGCCTCTGGCTCCGGGGCCTCAAGATCACCGGGACTCCTACTCCTACTCCTACTTGAACCCGCCCTACGGCTCTGAAGGTCTGGGTGCTTACCCTGGATACGCGCCTCCCCACCACCTCCCGCCAGCCTTCATCCCCTCCTACAACGGCCACTACCCCAAGCTCCTCTTGCCCCCCTACGGCATGAATTGTAATGGCCTGAGCACCATGGGCAGCATCAATGGCATCAGCAACTTCGGCCTCTTCCCCAGGCTGTACCCCGTCTACAGTAACCTCCTCGGTGGGGGCAGCCTGCCTCACCCCATGCTCAACCCGCCCACTCTGCCCAGCTCGCTGCCCTCGGAAGGAGCAAGGAGGTTGCTGCAGCCGGAACATCCCGGAGAGGTGCTGGTCCCAACGCCCCGCAGTGCCTTCTCCCTCACCGGGGCCGCCGCCAGCATGAAGGACAAGGTATGCAGCCCCACCAGCGGGTCGCCCACTGCGGGCACTGCTGCCACGGCGGAACACGTGGTGCAGCCCAAAGCTACCTCAGCAGCGATGGCAGCCCCCAGCAGTGACGAGGCCATGAATCTCATAAAAAATAAAAGGAACATGACTGGCTACAAGACACTCCCCTACCCCCTCAAGAAGCAGAATGGCAAGATTAAGTATGAATGCAATGTCTGCTCCAAGACTTTTGGCCAGCTCTCAAATCTGAAGGTAGGCCTCCCAGTAGAGCAGTCTGCCTGTCTGCTAGTGTCTGTACCTGTGTTAGGCATGTTTGTATTTAGCTCGCTTTCCACAGCTTATCAATTTCATTTTCAATAGCGTGAGATCCGGGTCGGGAATAGTTGACGTGGGTTTGACTTTGCTTTTGGCGCTTCGGGCTCTGTGTGGCTTTGGACAAGTGACTTCCCCTCTCCTGAGTTTCTTCTGAATGACGAAAACATGGGGTCTGGGCTAGAAGATCAGCTGAAAGTCCCTGCTGGCCTGTAGCTTCTGTTCCTTTAGCACAAACAAAACAGAGCCTCCTGAAAGCCTCGGGGCTTTATTTGTTCTGTATAAGACTTTATCGCGATGCTTTTCTGAAGATCTCTGCATCATATATGCCGGGTTCTCCGGGCAACTGAGAGCAGAGCTAACACATGTGGCTTCTTCCCAGGTCCACCTCCGAGTGCACAGTGGAGAACGGCCTTTCAAATGTCAGACTTGCAACAAAGGCTTTACTCAGCTCGCCCACCTGCAGAAACACTACCTGGTCCACACGGGAGAAAAGCCACATGAATGCCAGGTGGGCAGTCTTTGGGGGGTAGCACTTTTGACCTTTGTAGGAAATATCTGAGGAGTTGCCCTCCCCAGGCCATGCAGCCCATAGATTAGCCAACACAAGAACTCGGCCTTGGCACGGGCTGGCAGCCCTGGTGCAAGGTAGATGATGACACAGCCAGCTCCCAGTGGGTGGAAAATGGTAGGGGAAATAAACACCACCTCGTGTGCAGTGTGGCCACATCGCCCTGTTTGCTTAATGCCACACCATCGGTGCCACAGGGAGGCTTCTCCCCTCCCAGGCTGCTGGCATCATCTGTCAGCTTGCCCCTCCCGCTGGCAACTCTTAATCTTCTGGTCTTCCCCTCTCCCCACACTGCAGGTTTGCCACAAGCGGTTCAGCAGCACCAGCAATCTCAAGACCCACCTGCGACTCCACTCCGGAGAGAAACCTTACCAATGCAAGGTGTGCCCCGCCAAGTTCACCCAGTTCGTGCACCTGAAACTCCACAAGCGCCTACACACCCGGGAGCGGCCCCACAAGTGCGCCCATTGCCACAAGAGCTACATCCATCTCTGCAGCCTCAAGGTCCACCTGAAGGGGAACTGTCCTCTGGCCCCAACCACGGGGCTGCCTTTGGAGGACCTGACTCGAATCAATGAAGAAATCGAGAAGTTTGACATCAGTGACAATGCCGACCGGCTCGAGGACATGGAGGACAACATCGATGTGACCTCCTCTGTGGTGGAGAAGGAAATCCTGGCCGTGGTCAGGAAAGAGAAAGAAGAAACTGGCCTGAAAGTGTCTTTGCAAAGAAACCTGGGGAATGGACTCCTCTCAGGGTGTAACCTCTATGAGTCATCAGACCTGTCCCTCATGAAGTTGCCTCCCAGCAACCCACTACCTCTGGGACCTGTCAAGGTCAAACAAGAAACAGTCGAACCAGTGGATCCTTAAGATTTTCAGGAAACAAAAAGTGTCTTATTTTGTTTCTTAACTTACGACTTGGCGAGTCAGGGTGCCTGTAGCAGATTCCTTGTACATAGACCCAGGGCCGCAAAGCTCTCCCTCACCTGTCTGGAATTGAAGAAGGAGCTCCAGAGTTACTGAAATCTCAGGGCATAAATGAGCAAAGACAATATATTATACATATTATATATACTTATTTACCCCCATATATATATATTTGAACACAATATATTATACATATTATATATACTTATTTACCCCATATATATATTTGAATCTGTGTATTTTGAATATTTTGTGTGAATATGTTTGCATAGCCTTCCCATTGCTAAGAATATTGCCTAGCCATAATTATTTTTTCAATGATATTAATCCTTCATAATTTATTATACAATTTACCATTTAAAAGCAATAATTAAAAAAACGTTTACAATGACTGGAAAAATTCCTTGTAATTTGAGTATAGATGTTATATATGTTTGTCTTGTGGCCATTCTTTGTAAACAATCTCTGCACATCTGTTAAAGTACCTAAGATTTAGTAATCAAATACATGACTCCAGTCAACCTCCTTCTGTAATAATGGTTTGAAAATGAGGTTTTGGTATTGCCAAAAATACAGTTGTTGTGTTAATTCATAGGATCATGTCATTTGAACAGCATTGCATAACTTGGGGGTATGTGTGCAGAATTACCCGGTAATAACTTCCAGTAGAATAAACAAGAAAGGGAATCTTGTATGTTTCTGTAGATAGTGCGGTTATTTTCCCCCTAGCCACAGAGTTACTAGAAAGGTGACAACCTGTCTCCCTCTCCAAAAAGCAGGGTCACCGCACCCCCAGAGTCATGTGACCATTCAGAGTGGCCCCATGACTTTTGCATTCCCACCTTATTATCTAAAAATGTGAAGAAGACAAAATGCCATGTTTAAAACCACTGCGAAACATTTCCAAAGCACAGATGGTTTTGTGTGTGTGAGGTTTAGGGGCTTGAGTCTGGGTGATGTTTTTGTTGTTGGGTTTTTGTTTTATTTGTCATGTTAAAATTGCACAAACATGGTGCTCCACCAGGAAGGATTTGAGGTAGATGGGCTCAGGCCACACTTAAAAAAAAACCAAAAACGGGTATTCTCATTGTCTTAGGGTCAAAGCGGGTAATGAGCATTCCTATCCCCAACACATCAATTGTATTCTTTCTGTAAAACTCCGATTTTCCTCAGTATTTGTGTTTTTACATTTTATGGTTAATTTAATTGAAGATGAAAGGGCATTGCAAAGTTGTTCAACAACAATTACCTCATTGAGTGTGTCCAGTCGTGCAGGAAATGATGGCTTATCTAATGATTTGCTACTCCAGACGAAACTAAGTGTGCTCCGGAAAGATAGAACAAGGCCATTCTATCTCTTACTCTGCTTAGCCCAAAGATTACATGTCGGCATTCAAGGTGTAGCAAAGAATGATGTATATTTATAAATCTATTTATACCACTATACCATGTATATATAATATATTTATAACCACTTAAATTGTGAGCCAAACCATGTAAAAGAACCTACTTTTCTAAGGGCAAGAAAAGACCAAAAAAAACAAAAACAAAAAAAAACCCTTTCTGAGACTTTCTTTAGCACTCAATGACCTCACAATCATATTGATGAGCTTGAGCACCCCTCACTATTTGTAAAAGACCCTAAAACCTTGGTACAAAGGTGGGGACTGCATCATAACCAGGGAAAAAGAGATTGCTTTTTTACTATTAAGGACAATCTAAGATGGCTTTATTTTTGTTTTGCCACATTATGATTATGTGGTCATACCCAATTCATGGAAATAAAAATTCCATTATTACTCCTTTACTATTGTAATTTTTTCTCTCTTCCTCTCCCTCCTTCCTAAATAGCTGGTGTATCACTAGTCAATGCGGTTTATATATGTATATGCAGCATTCTGTTCATGGCAACTAATGCCAACCTGCAGAAGAGAACAACAAATCCAGGGAAACCCAAGAGCCTTAGTGATCTGTTCCCATAAGGAGCGAAACTGGCAGTTTATTATGTCTCAGTATTCGACAAACGCTGTCGTTAACTACAGGTAAACCAAAGCCTCACACTGACATTGACACCAAATTCTTTCTATTCCCAACCGCTCGTTTGTCCTCTTCCCCCTCTGTGCTTGCTTACATGTGGGAGTTTTTACCAAGACCTGCACAGTGGCTGAGACTTCCTGCTTCTCTGTAGTGTCTGACTTTCCCTCCAAGGCCTCTTACATGTGAAGGTTGAGCCCACAATCAGCAGTGGTTCTATTTTTTTCCCCCTTACAGTCAAAACTGACCAAAGTTACTGGCTTTTTACTTTGCTAGGACAACAAACTATCTTATGTTTACTTACTGGTTTACATTGTTATTTATGTGCAAATTGTCAAAATGTAAATTAAATATAAATGTTCATGCTCTACCAATGCTTGTCTAGCGTCTTGAGTGAGGGGCCAGTGAGCGACATCTTCACCACCTACAAACGTGGCCCTAGAACAGATTTTGAACGTGACACAATTGGTCTCTCTCCCACCCCCCACCCCCCAGCAAGGATTTCCTCATATCTCCATCAGGGACAGCACGTGGCAGTGATAGGAAGAGTTGATCACTTACATCTCTCATAACTCAATGGTGTAAGCTTTTTCTTTAATTATGAGCTATAAAAGTGTTCTCTTAAGGAAAATTTTCAAGCATTAGCCAGTAAATGGGGGAAGCTTTGTTTGTTTTTACTGGATTTTTGTTTGTTTTACTTTGTTGATGGGCATGGGGTGGTGGTGGTGGAGGTGGTGGTGGTGGTCTGTGTGTGTGTGTGTGTGTGTGTGTGTGTGTGTGTGTGTGTAGACCCAGCCCACTCATGGATGGGGGGCCTCGGGGAGTCCCCAGGAAGCTGAGTCAAGGAACACCTTGCCCATTGGTGACAGTCACTCGCTTCAGTAGCTAGCACTGAGGGCGCCACCGAGAATAAGGCCTTTTTGTGCTCTGCATGGTCTTCCTGCCCTACCTCCTATGGTATTTTTTTTTCTTCACAACTTGGGAAATAGGGTTGCTACTTGTGTAATTCAATTCAAGAAAACTTCTGTTTTACCAGAAGCCAGGCATTGTTAGTGTGAAACCCAGGGGTCATGGCAGTGTGACCATGCAGCCCCAGGGGTCATATGGTGGTGAAGGGACCTATTTGCTTGTCCATTGATGCTCCAGAAACTAACCTGTCTTCAGGTACAAATAAATTCGAGTCTCATTTGATAGATGTGAATAGGAGATGCTTCTAGAAAAATGTTACTGCCTTCCATGGAAAAAAATCTAAAAGCTCTTTGCAAATGGTTTCCGTGTTTGCTATGTCACCCATTACCAAGTTCATGGTTCCATGCCCACCAACTGCATGTTCAGAAAGTAACGCTCCTTCTTACATGTGGACACTCGAAACTGCCTGATTTTTTTAATGTTTCTTCTTTATATCCATTTAAACATCTGTGCCAAGAACTTGAAATGCTGCCAACATGTAACTGTGGGGTTAAGAAAACCAGAACCCTATTGTCATAAACGTGCCAAATGGTGCTGGTTGCACTACTAAATTCTGCAGAACCATTGTGGTAATAATTTTTCAAAACAAAGCCCAATAAGACCCAGAGTGTAACAGTTACTGTCATAAATCATAGTTCTTTACTTGGCAGAGCATGTCTTTTTTTCTGGAGAGTTATATATCTTGGGAACACTTGTGCACTTGGCTGTTGAATGAAACATTACATAAAAAGCTAACATTCACTAGGAGCACACGTCTACCCTGCCGGCCTCCACACAGTTGGATGGAGGCTTCATGCAGCTGTTTGTAGGGCAAGGACAAGACTGAAGAAATCATCATTTTCTGCGTATTTCCTTAAAATAAAAGCTCTGTTCAGAAATGATGCATTCAATTCTCCACTATAAAGGAATGTCTACACTAATAAAAGAGACATGCAAATTGGTGTCACTCCGCTACACCCACCAGCCAATCAGAGCAATTATGCAAATTAACCCAACAAAGATGGCAGTTAATTTGCATATGCAGGCACAGAGCGAAGACTGAAGACAGTGTAGAAGGAAGCCAAGCACTGCAGAAGGGAGCGAAGCAGTGGAGAAGGGAGGGAGCCGAGGCAGCAGAGACGCGAGCAGAGCTGAGACAGCGGACACGGGAGCAGAGCCGAGGCAGCGGAGATGGGAGGGAGTGAGGCAGCGGAGAAGGGAGTGAAGCCCACTGAGGCGGGCTTCGCTCCCTTCTCTGCTTTGCTCCAGCCACAGGAAGCCCTATTCTTGCAGGAATCTTCCTGCAACGGGCCTCTAGTATAGAATAAATGGATATATGCTGACATGGGAGTTTATGGGCACATTTCTAGATTTTTCCCCCCTTTGGGAATTAGGAAACCAATTTAGGACCCATCCATTTATCTAATTTTCCATGTGTGTGTGTGTGTGTCTAGACTTTTTTTAAAAGGAGATAATGGGGAAAGGCCAGAGCAGAGAAATGAAAATAAGGTAAAACCAGGCCTTTAGGGCGATCTGGAATAGAAAGGAAGGTTGAACCACAGAGGATGACAGCTAAAAAAGTTAATAAGAGAGAAGTTACATAGAATGTGATTACTGAGCCAATTCGGAAGACCTTTTTTCTTTAGGAGACCATAGAGTTCTTTGCCCACAACATGTCCATTATCAACTTCTGGCCATTAATAACAAGTCTGATTATTCTGAACTCTGGCTACCCCTTCAGCGTCTACTTATGGGTACATAGCAGCTACAAGAAATGTTTCAAGACCTGGGGGTAAGCCTTCCACCACATCCTTTTTCAAGCTTCAAGTCCTCCGAAACCTCACGTCCATTTGCTCAAAGTGCTGCTGAGTGCTGCTCCTTACATTAGAAGTGATTTTAATCTCCATACAGCCTTAATCATGTAATTTAAGCAAAAAAATCTTAGCAAGATTTCAAAAAGATATTTTTAACTTGATTTATGCAAATACTCTCTATGCCCAGTTTCACAGAATACTATAAACTAACAAACTCTCTCCTAATTAACTCCTTCTTCCAGGTTTAAAAGTAATGAACCCAAGTTGGCCAGGTACATATTTCCTCCTTCCTGGATTTAAGATAGAAGCTTTAATTTAACATAAACTCGAATGCAGTCACCTTGTGGTTTTCTCCCACCCCAACCAGAAAGGAAGAGGAGGTGATCGGTAAGTGCCAATGAGTGATTTTGGGAAGAAATTCTCCCTGGTGTTAATAGGAGGGGGTTGTTCCCATGGGATTGTGACTAAGCTTCCCATCTTTGGGTATCTGGAGGTTTCACCTGCGGATGATGGCAAGCAGCTGTCCTACATTGCTGGTGAGGGGCAGAGCAAAGGAAAGGAAATGAAACCCTAGGACTTTGGTTTATATCGCAAACACTGACACCTATCTTTAGGGCTTTTTCCTTTCCCTGGAGGGAAGGAGTAGGGTCTCCTTCCTGGGAGGCCTTAGAGAGGAGTCAGGTTGTTTGGAAACACAGATGTACAAGATGCTCTGGCAAGCCCTTCCTAGTTCTATAATTCAATGATTTCTAAAAGGTTGTGGGTTCAATTCCCGATCAGGGCACATACCTAGCTTGCAGGCTCCATCTCAGGTTGGGGCTCTTGTGGGCAGCAGCCGATTAATGCTTCTCACATCAATGTTTCTCTCTCTCTCTCTCCCCTCCCTCTCTCTCTCCCCCACCTTCCTCTCTATATAAATCAATAAAATAAAAAAAAAATTATTCCACATTTGAGTTCTTTCCAAGGATCCCAAAAGGGAGCATGGTGCCACTCTCACCTGGCATCTGGCATTCTGCAAAGCAACCTCTGAGCTAGCAGCCTTTCAGTGCAGTTACTCTGTGGGAAGAGAAGGGGTGCTCCTCACGTTGCCTCCTCCCATCAGCATGGCTTCCCTTGAGTGCTGTTTCCCATCCACACAGGCAAGGGGGAACACTGGTCCCCTTCCATGTAACCCTTCTTTGCCTCCCCAGTTTTAGTACAAGTAACAGATAGTGAGTTGTTGAGACCAACCAACTAAGGATCATTAATGGGGTGATTTCACTCCTTCCGTCGTTTCCTGGGCCAGAGTCTAAAAATACACCCGACCTGAGGTGGGAGCTGAGATCATGAGCTCTCCCTGTGGTGGGAAGAGCAGTGAACCAGGGGAGCAGACACTTCGTTCTAGTCCTGGTTCAGAGCCTTGATACCTGTGTGCTCTCAAGAAAGTCCTGGAACTTCCCTGGGCCTCTGTTTCTTGATCCATAAAATGAAGGAGTCATTCCTACTGTAAGTTGTCTTCCTGCTCTTTCAGAAGTACTACATCTCTCAGATGCTAAGATCCCACCGTTTTCTCTTATTTCCTTTGGGTTTGTTCTTGGAACTCTGATTGTTGCTATGGCAGATTATAATTTAGACAGATGAAGCAGAGAGAGATGTCAGAGAAAATGGAAATGAGGGGGAGGCTTGTATGGAGAGAAATATTGCGGCTTCTTCTGGCAAAAGAGATTGGGCTTACGAAGGTCCTGCTAATTTGTGAGGACCAGGATCTTTCCCCAGGAACTAATATGCTCATCTGAAAGGAATCAAGATTCTTTTCATGGACATAATGGGTTGTGCTGAAGTCAGACCTCTGCTAGGCTTCTGCATGAATTCTAGGCTGTTTAGTTTAGTGGGTTCAAGGGGAGAGGGGTTTTTCATAGTTTTTAAGCAAAGGCATACTTATAGGAGAGATTTAAGTTTGTTGCCACAAAAAGAAAAGGGAGACAAAACGACTGGTAGCTAAAGAAGAGAATGAGAACCCAAGAAACGTTTTGGTTAGCAAAGCAATCAAGGCTTTAATAGTGTTCTAAGGGTTCAAGGTTTTAAAAAGGGAATAAAGAAAAATGAAGCAGAGAGAGGGAGGAGGAGAGAGGGAAAGGTTAAACCAAGACAGAAACTGTGAGTAGATAGATGTGAAAGGGGCTGAAAATAAGTGAAAAGTGAAAAATTACTTTATGAATAAACCGTTAAAAAATAGTGAGTGAAAAAGCAATTGTGCTTCCAGTTATTACTGAATCACAAGCTCGTGGAGGCCAGAGGCTGGCCTGAGCAGCGACTCCACACTTAACCTGCGCGCAGCAGCTGGTGCAGGGCCCTTCCGTGGGCGGTCGCCGTTTTCTACTTGAGTGTCAGTTTCATTGTGATTACCCTCCATCACAAACGGAATGTGGGCCGTTTTGCTGCCTCTCCTTGAGCACAAAAGCCATGACTTGGTCATCTCTCCAACCTGCTGACACTAACAAGGCCGGTGACACCCTCGGAGGACATACAGGACACAGACAAACCAAGTAGGGCCAGGGGAAGGCGAGCAACCCTTCTGAGGGAAGGAGAAGCCAGCCAGTTAGTGAAGCCTGAATCTTCGGCCTGTCCCTGCCTCTTTCTGAAATTGAGACTGTGATTTCATGCTCAGTGCTCCCTGTCCTCTTGGTGGTATGTTCCCACAGGGATACAGGGTCTTCTGTGCCAAGACCCGACGGAATATCCTTCTGGGGAAAACATCTGGGCGCAGGGCTAGCAAATCAAATGCCAACCATAGCAGCACTGCCTCCACCCCACGCAGACTTGAGGAAGCACTGGGAGCACTGGGAAGTGAATCAGGTCTACCAGCCTGGCCTCGCCCTCCCAGCCTCCAGCAAGAGCCCTGAGGAACGGAAGTGCTCGGGCACCCAGCAGAAGGCAGGTCACGCGTCATGAGGAATGGCTCATACAGATGGTACAGCTATTTCCAAAGTGGCAGGGCAGCTCCTCTTCCCATTCCAAGCATGGGACACACTTCCGTGTCGGCACTGCTGGCACTCTGCTAACGTCTGACTGTCTGCTTCAACAGAAAGGCGGTGGGGAGTGGGTGGTCCCAGGTCCCGGGGTCACTGTCGTGGGTCTGCTTTGTAGGTCAGCGCTCACCCTCCCTGAGCACACCCCTGTCTCTGGCAGACTCCGGGGAGGCAGGTGGCCCACAGGGGAGCATTTGACCCAAGTGACCCGTGAAGCAGCTAGCCCCCATGCGTACAGCTGGCTGTACAATCAAAGAAAGAGGCTCCATTTTAATGAATCTGTTTCATTTTTAATAACCAGGGTACAACTGTGTAGTTTTGTACATCTGGCTAATGGGCTGAGATTTTCCTCAAAACAGATCCTGATATCTGCCCTTGCTGTTGCTGCAAAAGGTACCCGGCCTCGTGCTGGTGGAAGGTTTAAGGTGATATGCTTTCCTCCTTGAGTTTTTTGTTTTTTGCTTGAAGGAGGTAGGTAGTCGGGCTTTGAGTGCCTCCATCCTGGAAACGGGAATATTAAAGCATGGGAGGTCAGGAGAGATGCCCAGATGCCCGAGCCACCCGATGAGCTGCAGCTGGACCTGGGAACCAAAGCCCAGCTTCCTGCCTCTGCTTCCTACATTAGCAGGTTAGACAATGCTGCTATTGCCGAGCTGGGCAGGGCCCATGGCAGCCACTGATGTTTGTACTTCGGGCAGGCTTGCCAAAACAGCAGCGTCTCATAGCATTACATTACTGTCTTTGCTGCAGGACTCGACTCTTAACTAGTTCTGCAGACACTTCGAGAAAGCAAGGAGCAGACAGAGTCTTGGAGAACTGTGGCCACTACAGCCCCTTATTTGGAATCTATCTCACTCAGAACTCCACACCCCTGTCAGGTCTCTGAAGCCGAGCTGCTTCCAGGTGACCCTTTACGGAAAGATGTTCATCACTCTGGGGGTGGCCAGTCCCCCTCAAAGTTCCACATCGACTGTTTCTGTGTGTTAGCAAAAGCGTGGGTGTCAGACTTCAGTAGCTCTGTGTCAGCCACAGGTCGGCAGCGTCCCAGAAAGGAAACTGAGGCACAGAGATAACCCCACCCTGTCAGAGCATGCCGCAGAGACCTGGCAGCTGCAGCTGAAGGGCACGGCGATCCTCAGATAGACGGCGTTGGGCAACGGCAAAAATTCAGATGCTATTTTAGATAAAGTGGCTTTAGGTTCATTCCACTTTAAAGCATGGAGGGTCTGTGTTTTCTACAAAGGAGAGGAAACGTATAAATGGACATATTTTCTGCTTCAAGTACACATTTAAAAAAAAAAGCTTTGTTACTTCTGAGTTAAAGAAGGTATGTTCTCTGTTTTAAATATTGCCCATATATAGTTAACCAATGTACTAGTACCTGGAGGCAGAGATGAAAGTTGAGAAAGAGCAGTCTGTTCTACCCTTTTGTTCCCAGGCAATGTAATCCCAAAAGGCACGATTCCTCTAGGAATTATCTGTAGGCTTTCAGCATGCCCACCTGCTATACAGCTTTTGCAACCAACAGAAACCCTGCACGATTTATAGTCGGATCGCTTCAAATTGGTAGTTTTTGTCTTCTCTAGTTTTGACCTACACGTGGATTCCAGACTGAAACGTACATTATCTGAAGCAAACCATTCAGCCCATCTTAGATAGGTTACAGCTGTTTCAATCTCCCCTCCAACGTTAGTGTAATCGCATAATATATTATTGTTCATCTATATATAGCCTAAAGAATTATATGCCCTTAAGAGGGTTGGCGGAAAAGAAAGAAAGAAAGAAAGAAAGAAAGAAAGAAAGAAAGAAAGAAAGAAAGAAAGAAAGGAAGGAAGTCTTTAAAAACTAGCTGTATTACTTAGAAACGAGAGAAGTGCCTCAAATTCAGCTCCAAATCTCGTTCACCTGAGGGAAGTGAGCAAATGCTCGGCTTCACCCTCCATGGCACTTGTGGGCTTCTCCAAAAGAGAGGCATGTGTTTCTGCAAGACAAGAAAAAAGAAAAAAAAAAGACTAAGGGTGCACAGACTTCCTTCCGTGTTGGGCTCTTCTCCCTTCTAAGGGGTGTTTGAAAGTTTTTCCTGTGCTTCTAGCTGAGCAGAAACCACATCACGTCTTTTGTCACTGTCTTTGCTCACCACTGGAGACCCTGGTGGTTAGAGAGGGAAAGTCCCTTTCAATGGTGCCTGTGGGGGTAGAAGGTGTTGGGGGCCTGGCAGGGGGTGGTGGGAGAGGGGAGAGGAGAGATCGTTATGGTTTCCTCTCTGGCCTAGACGGGGCACCCATCCTGGCCAGACTCCCATCGTCAGAGCAGCAGTGCATATCCTTTTATGCCCCTGATCGTTTCAGGGCGATGGGGGACGAGATCATTAGACACAGGAAAGAACATGTAGTTCAAGAGCTCTGTGTTTCTGGGAAGCCCGAGGGGTGGCCACAGTTACCTCTGTGTCGCCTGAGACCAGCTTATACCTGACTCCTTAGCGCCTGTTCCCACGGGTTAGAAGGACACGGACAGAGGTGGGGCGCAGTCACATATTTGGTTTGAGCTGTTTTAGGCAGTCTCTGAAGTGACATTTCTGTTCTTTTATTTTTTAACTCTGATTTAAACAATAACAAACTCTACCATGTCTTGACCATTTTTAAGTGTTAAGTGTTTGCTACTTTGTTCAGTAGCATGAACTCTGTGCACGCCGTGTGCCACAGATCTCTAGAATGTTTCCACCTTGCAAAGCTGAGCTCAGTGCCCACTGGTTGCCGCCTCCCCCTTCCTTCTCCCCCTCAGCCTCCGTGTAGTGCCATTTCCTGATCACGCCACTAACTCTGAGTGCTTTTCTTTGGTTAAACCTATAACCTTGATTTCCATACTGAGACCTGTTTCCAGTTCACGCATCAGCCAACCTGTTTGGGGAGCAGATTCACTCTGCATGAATATTCATCACTTGCTCTGATCTGGTTGACAAATGCATGCCCTCAGCACTCCAGCTGGGCTCCAGCAGTTTATAGCGTTGTTATTTGCACCACCGAACCAGTCAGGAATGAAAATAACAATCAACCGCTGGGATGTTTACAAGCCTCCTGGCCTATGGCACATGTAATTTAGAGCTGCCATCTTGTCTCCTCTCCCTCAGTGGGATGGAATGTCCTCTCCAGCAACCTGCTGACTCTAGGACTATGGGAGGAGAAGGCCCTTCGCCTCCAATTTTCTAATGGAGCCTGGGTTGCAATCATCTCTGGTGGCTGGATGTTTGGATTCGGTTGCTCCGCAACACTTCCTCCTACAAGTCACTCCAGCAGGCAGGTAAGTACTCTCAACCAATGAGCACAGGCAATTCGTCATTCCCTGAAAATAGAGTTGTCTCTCCAGTCCGTCCAGTTCCCGCCCCCAGCGCCTGGTGTGGGGACAGAGGGGGGGGGCCCTCCTTGCTGGAAGCCACATTCCAGGGGGCGTGGCTCTTCTGCAAGTCACTGTGGAGGGTGGTGCCTCATGCCTGCAGCCACCCTCCTAGTGCTGTCTTACACAACAGTCATGAACTCTGGAATGTCTCTGGTCATTTACAGCCTGACTGGTCACTCCATAAATGACACTGTCAAGCTTCAAGGCCCAGAAGGAGGTGGCCTTGTTTTTCAAGAGCCCATTTTCTCCCACCCAGAACAAAGCTTCCAGAACACACTTCTTACTCAGAGACTTCTAAGAGAGCAGAAATTCAGGAGAAGGGAAATACAGGACTAGATTACAAAGCACACACCAATGGTGCAGATGCTTTAGAACACACTGAACAATTTGATCAGTCTCTTTGCAGATAAGCTTTCTAGAAATTAGGTGGGCACTTCTTAGAGTCACTTTCTGTCTTCCTCACTCTTACCTTGACTTTTTCCTTCTTCGGTTCACTTCCTTCATGAGATCATTGAAGAGAGCGACAGATAAAGGTTCCAAAGAACATATGATTCATGAGTCATGTCTATTTTTGCACTGCAGTATTCATCTTAAATGGCATTGTTCCAATAGAAGAAACAGAAAGTAAAAATCCACCTTAAGTAGTGATTTGGCTGCCTCTGTAATACAGTCAAAATTATGAAAATAATGCCTCCCATATGACTTATACTGTATTAGAGGCCCAGTGCATGAAATTTGTGCACGGGTAGGGTCCCTAGGCCTGGCCGGCAATCAGGGCCAATCAGGGCCTTCCTGCTGCCAGCCAGGGCCTTCCTTCATTCCGTGCCACCCCCTGGTGGTCAGCACATGTCATAGTGAACGATCGAACTCCAAGTCTCCAGGTCGAACTCCTGAAGGGACACTTTGCATATTAGCCATATATCAACCTGTCACAGCCATTTTCTCATTTTATCCTCACAGATACCCTTTGAGGTAGTTTCTGTTACCCTACTTTACATACCAGGAAACAGAGGCCCAGAGAGATCAAATAAATTAGATGATGCAGGAAAAGAACCTTAACGCAGAGCATATAGAAAGTACTCCAAAATGGTAACCATTCCTAAGTAACTTGCTTAATGTCACCCAACTAGTAACTCTGACTGGAACCTTCCCAAGACATGTCTGATAACTTCTCCCTAAACCTCAGGCTAGGAGCCTTAGTCCACAAAATACAAGAGATAGAATTTTAATTACACTCTGGAACCTCCACTTTGTCATGTATTAGCTATAAAATTACAGAGTTTATTAAAGATTCACTAAATGTAATTCACCTAGCCTTAAGTTATTTTGACCTATTTCCCCAGGGGTGGGGGGTTGGGGGGAACGCTTAGGAAGTCCTCTCTACTGTTCCTCTTACTTTTAAATCCTTTCATCAGATAGTTTGATCCAACACATGAGTCCTGAGATTTGTGGGGAGGGTTCATCTCTAATTGTGGGGTTTTCATCCTAATAATGAAAGATAAAACCAGCATTTTTACTTATGCATTCACTCATCTGTTCATTCAACAAATACGTATTGGCTGCCAATTATACTTCAAACATTGGGCCAGGCTGGCTATGAGGATAAGACCAAGACACTGATCTCAAAGAGTTACTTGCCTGTGGAGGGAGAGAGAGCTATGTACAATTTGATTTATGTTATTGACCTCTTTTAAGTGAATTAGTTCTATTATTATCTGCTAAGAGGGATCAAGCTTTCATTTTGTAGCATTTAACTTTACAGGTATTTTGGGTTTCTTCTGCATGTATTCACCTGTGGCTCAAAAAGATTATTTAATTAAGAGCAGTGTACATTCTGACTGTATTCGGATCTAGATGTTCAAGAGAGAATTTCATGTTCACCTATTACATTTGTTTTATTGACTAGAACAGAATATCAAGACAACACATTGTTAAGTCTAGCATGTCTGCAAGGAAAAAATTTTAATTTTTGTTATAAATTTTGATAATTTAGAAGTAGGCGGTTGGTTCCTTGAAATGGGACTACAGTATCATTTCTAACTAGATCTTCAGAAGTTCTTCAGAAATGTGAATTTCTGGGTAAGATCATAAACAAAAAGAACTCTAAGTTTTTTTTTTAACATTATATAAAACACTCTATGCTAAGATATCCTAGGTTTTACCTTTAACCATCCAAGTATCTCATAAGGATCACATCATGTCAGGTTATTATTTTATTTCAAAAGACTGCACTCCCAGAACAATAGGAATGATGGGGGGTGATGTCATGAAATGGAAAGAGCACTCTACTGGGGGGTGGTTGGGGGGACAGGTCATCAAGAGTCCTGGGCTTATTCCTGGTCCAGCCAGCTGAGTGACTTTAGCAAGAGGTGTAACCTCCCTGGGTCTGTTTCCACACCTGTAAAATGCAGCAGTTAAACTAGATGACCTCTAAGTCCATTTCTACAAATCAATGAATGTAGAAGCTTGTTGCTCATTTTAATAAGGCTGTATTAACTTTCAAAGGTCTTGCTGAAGCCTCAGCTGGTGGTGTTCCCTTCTAGCCACTTTGCCCAGCACATGTTTTGGTCAGGGCAGCAAAGGAAAACAGGGTGGCCTTGTCCTGTAGCTCTTGGCTCAGAGCTTTGGGAGGTATTGATGACTCAGCATGTGGCTCTCTCCCGGGAGGACCAGGGCTGCAGGTGTTCAGGTGAGCCTTGTTATGAGGGAGCTGCCAGCACTTTGGGGCGAGGCAGGAACTTGAAATGTGGACCATTTAAAACCACTCAGATTCCAAGACACTTTACTCAAGCTTAGGAGTGTCAACCGCCATCCTTTCATCAACTGCCACCTTGGATAATTGTGCTCCTCAAATTATCCTTGCATTTCAGTGTTGCATGGCATCCAACTTCCTATTCTGTGGTGTTGTGTATAGTTAGCTTGTTGTCTTCCAACTAAGGCTTTTATTGGTTGAGGGGTTAGGGATAAGAGTGAATGTGGATATTCTTCCTAGACCCAAGGGGTCTGCTCTTTCAGGTCACTAAAGAGAAAAGAGCAAAGAAAACAAGCAACACAACGCCTTTCCCAATTTGAGGGCAAGTGAAACTACCTACCCAAAAACATTGGTGTCAATACTAGAGTCACAGTCACTCTAGGTAGGTAGGGGTCTTGGAAATCCTGGAAAACATTCATAAAGATTAATACAACACTTATTTGTATGGAAAACTTTTGTTTTTAGGGGGTGATAAGTTGTGAAACTACAAAGCTGTATAATCTTTAAGCTATGAGATGTCGACATAATTGTTTTGAGATCAACCAATCAGACCACATTTCGTACTACCAGATTATAATGAGTGTTCATTAAGCATCATGATAACAACGCCCTCCTTGTTTGCTAACAAAGGGGCATTCTCTTCATGTATCACTGGTGACAGCTGATGTGGCGCAATTAAAGTCATCCACTCATTCCCTCTTTTTTCCTGATTTACTCCAAAGCTGTCATATGGTCAAAGAACATTTTTTCTCCTCTTTATTTTTTTTCTTCTCTTCTTTCTCCTTTATAATCTTCCTCTGGGCTGAATGAGATTTCTTCATTGAGAAAATGTCTCCTTATTGGGTGATGCTTAACTTTTCCAGGTCACTGGGACACCGTTTGGTGAACTGGAGTCAACACTGACCGAGTGGAATTCCAATAGCTGGAGACATCTGCCTGCCTCCCAAGATGACCAATATTTTCAGAGGAGTTGTTTACGTACCTTGCAGAGCTAGCCAATGGAGTTATCTCCCTTAAGTGTGCATGTAAACTTGGAAAACTATTCTACTTTTGGAACATATTCTAAATATCTGCCTTTATTGTCACCTATTTTATTTTATTTCTGTTTCTGATGACTGACTGATTCTCTGTGTTTTAGGCAAGTCATTTAACATTTGAATTAGCATTTACTTTTTTCTAAAGGATCATGGGCACAATTGAGGATCTTTAATTCATTCATTCAATATTTATGAAACCCAAATGATGCTGCATTTTGTGTTGCTAGAGTCACAGGGCAGCACAATATCTGCTGTTCTCTAGACATTTACAACCTAATTGAAAAGATAGATATTTATACATGACGATACATGATGATGCCAAAAAGACAATGTTATCTGCCATTTACAACCTAATTGAAAAGATAGATATTTATACATCTATAAATATCTAACAGCACATGACGACACATGATGATGCCAAAAAGACAATGTTATCTGTACAAGGATATTCACTGCAGCATTGTTTGTTATAACATCACGTTGGAAACCATCTAAATGTCTATTAATAAAAGTCTGGTTAAACACATTATGATGATTTATACAATGGAAATACTATGCAGCTATTTAAAAGAATGGGGTGGCTATACATGTACTAACATGGAAGAGTTCCAAAGAATAGCTTTAAGAGAAAAAAGCAAGTGTGGGTAATAGTGTGTACTATGCTACTGTTTGTGAAAAGAAAAAAAAATAGATGTATGCAAAGTCTTACATATATATTGAATGTCTTTGAACAGATACACAAGAACCTAAAAAAGGTGAATGTCTGTAAGGAAGAGATGGACGGCTAAATAATGGGGAAGAAGACTTACTTTGCCTTTAATATTCTCTAGTCTCCTTGGAATTTTGCACCAGGTACATATATCACAAATTTTTAAATAAAAAAGCAATATTTAAAATGTGCCTTAATCCTCTGGTTAGCTCTCCACAGTGAGTGCTGGTAAACATTAAATGAGAGAAAAACAGAATTTTTTCATAGAGGTCTGACACATGGAGTGAATGCTCTGCAAGAGGTTTTGAAATAGAACTTCCACTGGAAATTCTACTGTCTTGTACCTTTCAAGACAGTTCCAATCTGATGCTTCTGACACATGGAGCATATAACCTCATTGGGCTTGGGGTTATAGGTCACTGTTTCAACATGATTATTCAAAAGGATGTGAGACAGCATTGAGGGAGGGAATGTGGGGAACACAGGAAAGCAAATCAGAAGTACTGTGAGTAGAAGATTCTTCCTTCCCTGAGATCCCTTGCTGACTCTGTCACGCTCATGGGTGTCCTCTGTCATGTGGACACGTGGTTCCTGTCATAAGGTGGGTCATGTTTTCTTGGTTCCAAGTTCTTCCTGGTACATTCCCAGAGGGTATGGCAGTTAATCAGATCTCTGTTACCATGGATGATAGCACTTCGTAGACCAGTAGAATCTTAGACGTAGGAAGGACTCTGGAAATTATCCTCGGTAAACTCATCTTGCAGTCAGGCCATAGGGAAGAGTGACCCACCCATGGACACATCAGGCATCAGGTGCGAAGCTGGGACTACACCCTTAGTCTTCTAAGTCCAGTGTTCTTTTTATGACACTACATACAGTCACGGTCCCCTTGGATTTTCAGTAGGGGCAATGCTAACGACAGCTATTCCTCCAAAAATGAACACTCTGAGGGCAAAATCACCAAGTTGGGTTCAGTGTTCCCTAAGCCCAGGCTGCTGAGACAGATTTGGGGATGGGAACAGGGTGTTCC